GATTGTGGTGATATTTGGTTGATGCTTGTTGATCCAAGTCATAATTCTGTTCAAGGAGGCCAGAGAGAGCAGAAAAGTGGATAGAGGCTAGCCAAGGGGAACGGTGAAATATGAGTAGGTGTGGCAGGCACCAGAAAATGTGAGCCTGAACGAAAGTTCCGATCACAACAATTCATATCCCAATTCATATTAACAAATACATTGCTCCGTAAATTGTACCTCCACTTCATGCTTTCTTGTTGCCTTTCTTTTCTGCTCGATTAAACTTTTTTGTTGTTATCAACACATCTTCATTAAGTGATAACAAGAGGGAAATCGTCACCAGAATTGAAATAAAGGCAAATGATAACAAAAATTATGAAAAAGTTGAGAAGCAGTCACAATACACGAATTTTAGGCAGAGTTCGCTTCGGAGTAAACAATCCTTTTCAAGCATTATGCAGGATATAGAGTGGAAAACTGAAACTTTTTTTCACTTTCGGATTCAGATACACTCCACCTCATAGACAAATCTAACAGTTCCAGCATCATTTGCTCAGAAATCAAACCTCATTCGAAGCGTTTTTGTTGGTAACCGCTGTTTTTGGCCGCAGACCGTCTTGCAAATGTTTCACAAGAATGCTGGATTGTGAACACAACTTTCGTCCCACCCACACCTTCGCTTACCGGGCAAGTACGCTACAACTCGAGCTACCTGCACCATTTCATCTCAACTCAGCTCTCATGGGGTACTTAGCATAGCTTGTCAGCACTCACACGTATATAACGTGTTGAGTCGGTTGGCCGATATCGGCAAAGACCGCAAGGGTGAAAAATTTAGAAATGAGTTTTGACTTGTTTTTGTTCGTTAAGTGATGTTTTTGGCCGCAGTGCGCCTTGCAAAAGTTTCACAAGAACTTTTTTGAAGCCTAATTCTTCATGTCTAAACGGCGTGTGTGAAAGAGCTGCAAGTCTATCCACGTGTGGGGAATGTAAAACGCGTTGCTTATGGCAACAAAATATGTCAAAAACCGAGACAGTTTTGTCGGGAAGTGAAACTGAGCCGAGTGAAATGATGGCGGTCTTTTGCATGTTATTTCTTAAGTCTTTCTTGTTTTTCTCCAATCATTTTCTTACTGTTAAACTTCTTATCGAGTAGCGTATCCTGCAGATAAGGAACTTCAAAAGAAAGGCAGACAAATTTTGAGAAATGACAAGCAAAAAACCGACCTCACCCCAGTCAGCTCGGCCTGACTTCTTCACAAAACTCTTTGTTTTGAGATGTTCTGTCATAATAAACGAGGGTTTTACATTTTCCACTCGTGGATGGGCTTGCAGTTCTGTCACACGCGCCGGAAAAACACCTGTTGGAGAGTTAAGTTTCGAATAGGGTTTCATTTCCATGCACAGCTTGAGGGAAGTGTTTGATTTTCCTATGAGGCGGCGTTTACAGTAGGTCAAAAGATTGGAAAACTTTTTTATTTTCGATCTTGCGCGCCCGACAAATCATAGGATTGTCCCAAATTTAGAAATTTCATACAAAATCAAGTTTAGATCAGAAAAAAAATCAGAAAACGGGAAGAATAATTTCCAAAACCTGTAATAATATTTGATAAATAAGATTTTTTAAGTAATGGCGCGTCAAAAGTTTGGAAACTTTTTATTTCCCTTATCATTATGATTCCTACTCTTCAATGTCCACTTGTTTCTTTTAATTTTAGTTACACTATTGAGCAATGTGTAATTTCAAAATGAATTCACATGCTAAGAAAGCAGTTTTCCATGAAAGGTCCTTTTATAAACCCTACGATCCGGAATACGAAAGTGAAACTGATCTTTAGTAGTTCATTCTCTACGGAAGCAATATTATCGGATGTTTCTAGCCTTATTAGAGTCGAGTAAGCATAAGAAGAATGATCATTCACAAAAAAGTATCTTCACAAGAAAGTTGATCCTCTTCAAATACTTCGAAAGGTGGTTGGTACGTCCGTGGCAACCGACATTCCCAAATAAGAGACAACTTGTTCTGTTTTTCCTAATCATATGAAAGTCCAAGTGCACTACAACATTGGCCGCGATCTGGTGAAGATTAGGGGTGATGTCCCAACAAGAAGCCGTTATTGGCTTCAGGGGCAGAATGACGTAGCTGGCTTCCGCACAGTAACGGCTAACATGGACCGAAGGCGAGAGGTGAAACTTCGTCCTCAGTAACGAGTGAGATTTCTGTCTTTCTAGAAATAATTGCATGGACCATATGAAGTGTTTTGTCAAGTGGGAAGCTCATTTTGAGTACAAGATTTCAACAGTCAGATATAGCAGAAGTACTGTCATGGATGAACATGTTCCCGACCATTCGGCGATTCCACAGTTCTAGGTATCCAGCGAAATGTGGGTTGGGCTAAGTACAACTATAGTCTGTAGAATACAATGCTTCCCTTCGATAGTCAACTCGCCGAAAAAGATGGGTTTTCTATAGCAGAAATCTAATGCAGGATTAACTTCTCACTTTCGCCTTCCTAAACCCAGAAAAAGAAGCTGCTACGAAGCGACCAAGTCAAAATCTAAAGTCTAGTTGAGTTCTGCATCCCATGGAAAAACTGGCATGTCGCTCAACCCACATCCCAGTTCAGGATCCCACCAAACAATGTGATTTAGTTCACAGTGTGTAGGGTTGGACTTAAAAGTCCTAAAATTATTTTATAATAAACTCCATCACAAACATCAATAAAACGACGCTAACGCAGAAATTCAAAGCTACTCATCAAATAATTACCCTGTGGATTTGAGAATTATTTTGCCGAATTCGCTTTGGAATTCGGAAGTTTCCAAACTTTTGGCGCTCCATTTCTAATAAAAAAGTTGTATTTTTCGAATGCGATTTTAGTTTTCGAAAATTATGTTGCCCATCGTAATCTATACTTGATTCTGAATATAATATGTGATTTCGAAGAAATTTCATTGTCTGTCGGCTACGCTAGATCAAAAATAAAAAAGTTTCCAAACTTTTGACCGCTACTGTATATGAGTCACAAGGCAAAGGAAGATCTCCGAGGTTCAATTCTGCTCCATATCCTGCACAATCCTCGAAGAAATTGTTTAGTCTTAAGCAAACTTGGCCCGAAATTTGGGCAGTGCGACTGCCTCTCAAAGTTTCACCGACTTTTGTTACCATTTGCCTGCATTTTAATTCTGACGACGATTTCCCTATTGCTATCACATAAAGAAGATGTGTCGATAACAATAAAAAAAATTAATCGAGCGAGAAAGGCAGCAAGAAAGCATGAGGTGGCTGTATAATTATGCGGAATAGGTTAGAGCGGCTTTTCCGAAAAATTGCAAACAAAACTTCCTTCAAATTTCAAAGCTGTAACTATGTGCTGGTGTGCAGAATAGCAAAGTATATGGATGGATCCATAATTATGAGGAGCAGTGTATCTAACCATTCAAATTACTCGGCCGTGGTCCTGGCCGTTCAGATGCGCCAAGTACACATTCTCAAGATGTTGGTCGAAGTAATATTGGCTGTCGGGATAAACACATTCAAAAAGCTCGGGTTGGTCACAAGTTAGTGAACAACCGAGCTTGTTTGCACGTGTCAAAGCGAAAATAAAGGTGCCTAGGAGTGTGTCTTTTCACAAGTTTTGAGCCAGTTTGTTCGATTTTTCTTCACCATTGCGAAGAAGATTGCACACTCTACCATCTCTAACTAAAGATTAAAAGCCGTACCATGAGCTTCTAAGCAACAATTACAGAACGAGTTTGCTTGATAAAAAGGGTCGAAAATGAAATGTGGGACGAGTTGATTGCAAATAGAGAACAGCAAAGAAAACCGCCAGTGAAGCCCTCAAATAAGGACTCCCCCTATTTCCCTCTGTAATGAATGAAGGGCAAGCTGAACAAGCTGTCCGCACTAGCTTGCTCCGAAGCCATTTATGCTGGCTCGCATAAATGGCTTCGGAGCAAGCTAGTACCTGCATTCGGATACACACTAATAAAAAAGAGACATATGCATCATTACAAACAAAGGAATCCGATTTTCAAATGAGTTAAGCAAGTAACAATCAGTCAAAAAGAGGCAGCTTTATTGGAAACGCGGCACAGTTACACGCAGTCGTGCAGGGACCCCCAGCCGAGCACGCGATCTCCACGGTTGGCAAGTGGGCATTACCGCAAATGTGCGGAACGCAGCGTTCACGTCCATTCTAGCGAGTTTTCTGTTCAGTGGCACTCTTATGTTCTTGATTAGTGCTAGCGCATCATTTCCACATCATTAGTATCGAAGGTAAGGACCCTGCTGCAACTGTTGCTTTAGGCGGCCCCATATGAAGGGAAAGATTATTTGCTTTACTTAGAGGTGTTTCGATCACAATATGGAGACCGCATAAAGACGGGTGTGTTATTTTGAACAGTATCAGGATCCCTACTAGTAATTCGTTGTTTTGGCATGGGAAAGCATCATGTAATGATGACCTGTGAGCTGTCAGCAAAACAGACAGAGCAATCGAAACGACTCTGGCGAAATAGTTATGGAGTCTGAAAGCATTCTCGTCAGCGACGCTTGTTTCAAAAGGCGAGAAATTACGCCGAGATTGGGTTGATTCATAGTAGAAGTGAAGATGCTTAGTAATGTCTCATGCGATAAAAACCAATGCAATGCGCTAAGAATGCTGCGGCGGTGAGTCCGCTCCTCCACGTGGTGCCGCCGGGGACTGCCCACTCGCGAGAGTGGAGCTGAGCTAAACGCGGACACCAGCGTCAGGCTCGCGCGACAGGTCGGCTGGTCATCTCGAGTCGCAACTATGGATCGAACAGTCACATCATCGAACAACGCTAGGGCGTACCCCAGAAGCGACGCGCGGAGGCTTCGCCCGACCTCCGTGACAAATGTGCAAGGGCTACCGGTTCATGGACGAAACTGGCCAAAGAAGCTAGTCCGAACGTACTCGCAGAAGCTGAAGCCAATACGAATCGCCACACTCAACATTGGCACACTCACAGGACGGAGCAGCGAGTTAGCCGAAATGTTGAAAAGGCGCAAGGTGACCATTGCATGCATCCAGGAGACACGATGGCGAGGGCAAAAATCGTGTGATATTGGAAACGGGTACAAGCTCAGTTACTATGGCACATCCAATAGCAAGGGAGTGGCCATTGCCGTCAATATCGAGATGCGCAACCACATCGCGGAAGTACAGCGCCACTCGGACAGGCTCATCTCTGCCGTCATAGATTGTGAGACCCGCCGTCTACATGTATTTTCGGCATATGCTCCACAATGTGGCTGCAAAGACGAGGAGAAGGAGCAGTACTGGACAGACAAGACAAGATCGCAACAGTTCCTGAGGCGATTTTTCCCGTTGGGCGGCGACTTAACTGGACACGTTGGCATCGGAAGACATGAAATGGGTTACGCTGCGCCAAGGGAACTACGGTATGTTGTGCGCAACGAAGACGGATGCAGGATTTTGATTGTTGCTGAAGGCAAACGATCTTGTCATACATAACACTTCTTCAAAAAGCGTGAAAGCCACTGTCACAGCTATGCTAGCGGAACCTGAAAAAGTCAAATTGACTACGTGTTGGTGAGGAGACGAGATATGCCCGTTGTTAGCATGCGAAGGTTATTCCATCTGAGTGATTAGCACCGCAACATAAGCTGCTAGTGGTCGATATAAAGATGAGAAACCCAAGCAAAGTTAATGGCAAGCTCCATGGTACCAAGAAAAGTCAGATGGTGGAGGTTACGAGATGAAAATTTCATTGGCGATGCGTTTTCCCTCCGTTTAGATGTCGCACCATCGACGCTTACTTGGACAGCCTTACCGCAGTTCTGTCACAGCTGCCGCTAAGCTGCATTAGGAGCTACAAAGCCAGGCCAACGTGTATAGACAAGCAAACATGCTTTGGACGGAAGAGTTAAGCATGCAGTGGCTGAAAGAAGAGCGCATACAAAGCGTGGTATGCTCAGAAAAATGCTGAGAATTGGAGCAAGTACATAACGGCTAGGGGGCAGCTAAAAAATCTGTCGCCGGCAGCTAAGGCTGCCTTCCGAGACCTCTACACACAGCTGATCCCAAGGAAGGTGAGAAGAGCATCTACCGATTGGCGAAAGGAAGAGCAAGTCGGCGCAAGACACTGCCACATATGTTTGCGTAAAGACGAAGATGGACAGCGACTCCACAGTAACAAAAAATACTAGATCGTTGGCAACAGTTTTGATGAAATCTCCAACATCGAGTTCGCTCATCCCCAATCCCGGAGGACTTATGAATGCGGTCGCACGTCACTTGCATCACTACAGAAGAGGTTACCAGGCAATCAAGCATGAATAATCGAAGCGAAGCGGCCCAGACGACGTCCCAACAGAATTCTGGAAATGGAAGGACAGCGGCAGATTGGAATTCCATTGGCTCACGCGATTTTCAATGCCGTCGTCAACTCGCCGGCACCCAAAAGGAATGGCGACAAGCATAACCATACACAATCTTTAAAAATAAAGGAATCCAGCGGAGTTCGAATTACCGTCCGATTCGCCTGTTGTCGCATACTATGAAGATCTTTGAGCGATCCTCGATCAACGACTTCGCGACATCGTGAGCTGAAACATCAACCAATGCGGATTTGTAAAAAGCGCTGGAACAATCGATGCACTCTTGGCGCCGCCCGCATGCTCTGGAAAAATCGTGAAAGCAAAAAGTCACTCCACGTAGCCTTCTTAGACTTGAAAAAATCGACGACCGCGTTTCCACACCAGCTGATCTGGTATGCGCTCCGTGAACACAGAGTGCCAGAAGTTCTCATTCAACTGATCGGATGCTATAACGCGGGCACCACAAGTCGAGTAAGATGTGGCAGCTGGTCTTTCGAAGAGCTTTCCAATTAACGTTGGCCGTCCATCACAAGGATCAGCACTCTCGGCCGTTGCTTTTCATCCTCGTCCTGGATGCAATCACACGGGAATTTGCAAAAAGATGTTCCGTGGACTTTGCTGTATCCGACGACATCCTTCGCGCCACCAGCAGAAGCAACTACAGCATCGAGTTCAGCATTTGGGCGATCGGCTTAGCCAGTAACGGTCTTCGTCTCAAACATCAAAAAAGCCCGAGTAACTTGAAACTGTTCAACTGATGGGTATTCCAGGTCGCTGCAGGAACTACCAAAAACCACCCTGCTTCAAGTAATCTGGTCCCGCCTGCCAACCAAGAGGTCTGAGGACAGAGATAAGGCTGAGAATAGCGCGGCATGGATGAGATGGAGAGAGATTACCAGAGTGCCTGTCACAGGCGTAATCCGCACCGCCTTAACAGCGAAGTATACGGACTATGGTCCGCTCTACTTGCATTAATACGATCTGAATGTTGGTCCGACACCGAAAGGCGCGGAGCGTCAACTTCACGCTATGATCGAATGCTCCGGTTGGTCCGCTGGAATCTCCGTCTGACCATATTTGACAAATAAGTGATTCGACGGCGCAATGGGTGTTGCACCTATCTCACAGCAAAATGCGAGAGAGACACGTCAGTTGTAGGCCCCTTCATAGTCAATGCTGCCTCCTGTAATAGCTCGCTGCCACTGCATCCGATTTGAAAGTTGACGGCCAAGACCGCGTGAAGCCAAGAAAACGGTGGCATAGACCACGAACAACGAAGCCATGAAAAATCTGCACCAACTGCGCAGCGAGAATCCTCTGAATCGAACAAAAGTGCCGCTGCTTCGATCCGAAAACGGACCTGCCCCAGCGACCGACTTAAGCAGAAAGAATGCGCTAAGAACACGCAAAACGTAACCTCTTTCTTTGCCCGTTGACCTCCGACAATGGACAAGCTAGCAACCAACTAGAAGGTCGTTTGCACATGTCAAGCCGATAGGTCGATCTTTCGAAAATTGGGAGTGGTATTGTATATCCACCTTTTTTGTGCCGGGCTTCAAGTGAACATAACTTCTCAAAATGATCTTCGGCGGCCACGCATCATGGGAAAATAATGAGCATGATCATTACGAAAAGCTCACCTTGACCCCGAATGCTCATTTTCTGCGAATGATAACTTTTTTTAACCCTTTCCGGACCGCCTGACACCCACGGGGTGTCAACGCAATTTGCTCTCTGTGGCCCCCTGACACCCATGGGGTGTTAGAGGCTTCAAGAGGTGATTTTTCGGTTTTTCGACAGGGTATTTTATGTTACTAATTATCCATGTAAAATACTCATATCGCACGTATGAAAAAACCTGAACTTTAATCCCACACTTGCCCCTAAAACATCTAAAAACCAAATGTACATTCCTTTGGGTTTGAAGAAAACATTTATATTTGTTTGAAAACACTTTCATACGAAATATTCTATGACATCAAGTGCGCACCTTATTCGATGCTATTATATGCAAACGTTTCTGACACTTTCTGGTGTCTTTTTTCCCACTACAACTTGTTTTGAACAATTCTCATCCCTACCTCCCTTTTTCACCTTTATTACGTGGCGGTTTTCTGTCATATTCACACATATGTAACTTTAAATATCGCAAATACAAGAACGAGGCAAAATAATGGTCCTACTAGAAATACAGGTAAAATATATGGCATTCATGCTCGCCGAGCACCCCGCGGCGATGAGCATAAAAAGGCGTCTGCCACACGCGCCCTCCACGGGAAAAGTGCGCGGTCCGGGAAGGGTTAAGCTTCTTAGCATTTTTCTAAGTGTGCGAGTTCTACAATTTAGCATTCATTAAGTCGTTTGAAAACCGCCTTTTGGAATCTCTTCTTTTGGGAATCGAGAAGATGATCATTTAGCATTAATTTCCGCAAGGTACCCTTAGTGCTCATGATAATAAAATATACACGGGGGAGGGGACGAAAAAAGAGCCACTTTGCCTATGGCGCTTATCACCAAACTTTTTGTCGCAAAGGATGCCGTTATTGGGAGTTATATGGCAAATTATTCCTTAGATGTCTCCCCATATACAGAATCAGGCCCACCCTCGCTGCTTTCACCTCTCCAGAATATGACGTCATCTGTCATCACCATCGAGCTCAAGGAGGCCTACAGTAATTGCTCCATTCTGAAGCTGCCTTCACTCGGATAGCTGGTGAGTGACTTCTTAGAGACACTAGCTCTGACTATGCCAAATGGCTTTTGACCAGCGTTTCAGAGACGTTGTAATCATCTACGGTTTCTCGACGACCCCGTTGAGCTCGTACCGCGAACCATGTTTCCGTGGGAGAATCTTCTGGTGTCGTAGGTTTAGAAGGCCACTATACAATGTTTTTGATAGAATAGAATGTGCTCTTCAATATGCAATTAAGCGCATTCGGTTTGGTTCTGGCAAAGTGTAATTAGTTCTGTTTTGAATGTGAGTAGGAGCGACTCTTTTTTTGCCCCCCCCCCTTTTGTAGAGCAGCTGCACTAACAACTCCGAGATGCGCCGCGTGCCTTTAGCCATTCTGGTCCTTGTCGTGCTGGTGTGAGGGCCTACGGATGCGGCTCAGCTTTACCACAGCTGCGCTGACTAGAACGCTCTTTATTCCCCTTGTGGCTTCTAGCTATGCTCTATTGTACAGGTAAACATAACAAAGCCGCTTTCAAAGCAACTGATGCGATACGTTTAATGTGATAGAAATGGAATGCTGACTGACAATGAGCCCCTACGGGCTGAACGGTTGTTCTTTTGCGACTAATGAGCACATAAAGCGTCCCATTTAGGCGTTACCGATGGCGACCGCCACCTTTGTGGAAAGCTCTACCCCTTGGTTGCAAACTCGTCCTGTTATTGGCTTGTAATAAGGATTCTCGTCCACAGTGAAAAAGCGTGGAAAGGCGAAGGGGTTCACAAAGCACCTGTATCATAATTAGTAGAATATAGAAATCACAACTAACAACAAATTTACTAGAATATGAACCTCGCAAGAGTAACTGTATGGCACATGAGAGTCGCAGTATCGGAAGCTATTAAAGAAAATTGGATCAAGGAGAATTGGCTCTTGACCTATCTCGATCCTTTTATACCAGCCTTTTGGCGCGTGATCACGATCACCTGCTATGGTCGTCGGCAGGGTGAATAACGGTCGAGGAATTCCTCGACCATCGCTATCTGCTGTGCGAGAGAAGAGCCGACAGTGAGTTTACGCGCGGAGAGCACAGACGGCTTTAGGTGGCTGAGTGCATATCCGCACGCGAGAACGTGAAGGATCAGGCGATAATCCTCGACGTGCCGTTGAGGAATCCTCAAGCAATATTCACCATGGTTGTCGGTTGATCACACAATCAGTAAGTCAAAGAGTAAAGATCGTGTGGATCCCGTGATATCGGTCACCTATCGTAGGGCCTCGTCAGGCGCGGGCATCGACCGGCGAAAGGGGTTCATTTGACAGATTCAGGCCGTTTTGATAGGTGTTTTCTTTATTGCTGATCCAAACGACATTTGCTTTCTTTTCTTC